ATTGAATCTTGGCTAAGGAGAGACAATATTTACTTCTTTAATCCAATTCTTAAAGGTGGTCACATTAGGAGACTGTAGTTTTCAGGAATTAATAATATACGGAGTTATCTGCTTTATTGCCTACTGAACTAAAGTAAATGTCGAGGCTTCTTATAGATGATTCATCAAAATGTGCCATTGTTATCAATCTCAATAAGGAGCTTCACAACACTAAGATATTATTCGCCTGATAGCCAGTTTTACAGTCATACCATTATTCAAATCTCCATGCATGTAAGGACACCACTAGCCGTTTATTTTATTCTTCCCTTCACACTACTTGCAGATTTAATGCACACCGAATGAATTTATTCGTTGAAAGAGTTAGGTGTGAGTGTTTCAAGTTTGTTACTTTGATTTACCTATAAAACCTGCGCCTCCTACTCATCCACGAACAAAATCTGGGGTTCAACTTACAGATAGCTTTCGGTATATAAATCTTTACGCACAGCTGCCTTATGTTACAGTTTGACGAGTAAGTCAAGAAGTTTGACCATATTATTCGAAAGTGGTTTCGTAAACCTCACAGATAAATGGTTCTGGATTATGCCAATAGATTATAAACCAGCCACAGTAATCTGTTATGGGGAAGTTAAATCACACTGTTTGGACTGACAAATGATATTTAAACTTTTTCAGCTTCATGAACTATCTGCTGCACAATCCTGAATTTTCTTAACCGTAAGTTGATAATTGCCCCAGTGTGAGTACTTAAACGAGTATCATCACAATATGAACTGGTGACTCCACATGTTAAGTATAATAAATTTTATTCTAAACTGTAATCTATTATAGGAGATCACGTGAAACTGAGTTTGTTCACAATTAATTCAATTAAGTCATTTTATTAACTTATTAACGAACTGAGTCATCCGTACAACTACTTACCTAACTCATTGTATCTTTATTACTGTTGCGAATGTATGAAAATGTACGCTTGAATATTGCTTACGGCCCACGCTTTTATTCACTCTGCTAGTCTTACTACTAACCACTTATTTGATTCGATGACTCATTCACTTCACTATATATATATATATATATATATCCATGTTATCCATATTGATCGCTTGCTTTGCCTTCTCGCTCGCTTGATTGTACTCGATTACTTATATTCGCTCATTCGTTCGCTTGCCTGTTTGCCTCTCGGCACAACCCTTAATGCTCGTTTAATGCATCTGTAATTTTGGACATCTGTGTGTGGTCTCGCAATAAACGTAATCAACGCTTCGTATTCGCCTTCTGATTAATATACCGTTGGGGCGTTATCTAGTGACGGTTATAAAGACGAACTGTATACGAAGTTTAAGGAATATATCGAATACCGACCACCACATTATTGGCGTTCCCGACGCGCGAGCACGAAACAATCTTCGATGACATAATCCAATTCCGAAAATCCAACGTACTCAATTTCAATTCAAACTAGCATTTGGATCATAATTGTAACTGTAGATTTATCATCTCATTATTTTAATTATACGTACATTATCTCACAAACATTATTGAATATAACAATGATATTCACACTAAACGACGATATTTTACAAACACTTGATATTTTGGTGCAATTTAATAGGTCCGTTCTTTGTTATAAATAGTACTATTTATTATTATCATTGTTTTTGTCGATTCACTTCTCTCTGTGACATTCATATTATATTCGTGTACTTTTTGACCTTTATAAATGTCTTTAAGTAACGACACAATAGAACTTTCACAAACGCCGTCCGTGAGGTCCATTAATGTAACTATTCCCCCTTTTAAGGTCTCAAACCCTCAACTTTGGTTTATCAGACTTGAACATTATTTTCGAGCTAATCGTATTCATACGCAGCGGGATAAATTTGGCCACGCGAGCTCACTACTTCCAGATGAAGTAGCAGACAACGTACGAGAGGTTTTAACTAAGCCAGATATAGGAAAGCCATACGACACACTAAAGCAGGCAGTGATTAAAGCTGCCTCATTAAGCGAGCGGCAAGCCATCGAACAGCTTATCAGTCAAGTGCAGATAGGAGATAGGACTCCATCGCAGTTAAAAAAAACTATATGAGAAGCATAATCGAAGATAGAAAAGCAGATAAAAACATATTTTATCAGTTGTGGTTACGACGACTTCCAGCCAACCTGCAGCAGATCCTTGCAGTTGAGGACAGAGATATCGACATAGACAACATTGCTAAAATAGCCGATAGGATTTATGAGAGAATGAAACAAACGAGTCCTCAAAGACATAGTACCACTGTAGATGAACGAATCGACACATTACGAAAGGGAAGATTCAAACAACCAATACAAAAATGATTTAAATCTTCCCATTGCATAGGCTAGTGACTTTCAGGATTTAGTAGGTAAGTGGATAAGTCGATGGCATTTGAAGCGAATGGTACTGGGTCTCAGAGTGAACATAAATTTTGGGATGCAAGTACATCTAGCTGACAAGTCCGAAACAGGGCGAAACGCGAGTTCTGAACTCTACTGCTAACCACCATTCATCTTTGCTTATAATGCTTGTCGTACATTTAAATGAAAACCTTGTTAGATAATCATTAGAATGGCTAATGTAAGAAAATATATGAATAGGTCTTCGTAAACACTCTACAAGCTTAAATACTAGTATATTAAACCAAGCATCAGTTCGATTTTGACACTTATACGTATGCTACCTATAAGCAATACTAACCCGTTAGTTGAGTGAGAAGATAAAGACAGAATAAGAAGCTGTATCGGCAATCGAATCAAAGACACAAAGTACCGCATTAATATGTCTGTGTTTAGTGGATAATTGAACCAAATCTTTGACAGAAGTGTTCATCCATGGACAACACTCATCTACCATTTGACTATTCTCTAGACTGTGAGCACAGTGATGTGATCTGACGGCACTGATCCAGATGATCCCCTCTTTACCCGAAAAATTTGGTCTTTACAACTTGTTGAATAATAAGCACTGGCAAATATCATCTATTTTGTCTTTTTTATTACTATAATCTATATTCAACTACCTTATAAGTCAGTATTCCTTCTGGAATCTATATGCAAAGATTGAGGTAAGGGATATGTTAAGTTCTGATAAAGCACATTTATAATAATGTAACTAGTAAAGTGTATTTCAGTTCAGAAGTTAATGAACAATTTTTCAAGGGAAAACAACAAAGTCGTGTGCATTCTGAATTCTCAAAGTTAATAGATATTAGGAGTATTTCATTAATAGAATCTAAAACTATGGTAACTTGTTTAACAACAAAGAGATCGTTAAGTCATTAATCTTCAGTTTAAAACTATCCAGAAATGCTACATATTGAAGATGACTGAAATATCAAAGATTCATTATTAGTTAGATATTCCCTTGTAATTTAATGAAACTTCATTTCGGTAAAATCATTCAATGAATTGTTCGCTTTCAGTGTACATGTTCATGAAGATATTTATAAGAGATCACACCTTTTGTAAAAAGCTCCTAGTAGCAACTATTACTACTGATATCCATGGTAATATCTAACATATTTTTTAGTAGATTATCTACTTGGTAATCCACACTCAACTTAATTGTTGGACCTAGTTTAGTTGTATAGAATTTAATACCTGAGATTAATATCATTAACTTGGAAGTTAAATGATTAACGAGTAATATTTGGGATAAACTCATACATAACTATATGTTACCAATGGTATAACTACACTTTTGAATAGTTATTTGACATAAATATTGATTTATTTTGAGTATAGAATTCAGCAGTATATGATGAGGGAATTAAATGTTATGTTGAACTTGTCCCCAGAACTCACTTTGGAAAGGACCTGATTTTGTAATTTTATTTAGAAAATTTGAATTTCTTTGTTTTCGCGCCAAGGGTGCTCTTGTCACCTTCATGTTGTATTTCCCACTGGGAAATATCTTAAATGTTACTGGTCCGTTGTGTCTTTTACTATGCTATTTGGTAATTCTCATTAAGGACGGTTTTGAATTGCGTCTGTTGTTATCGCTCATTTCTGGCTGTTTTCAGAATATACTTCCCCATTCCAAGCTAGGACTTCTCCTTCTAGTTAGCTGGGCTGGGACGCATCAATAGCTAGGTTACTGGTCTTTAGTCATCAAGTCTTTGTTCTCGTTCGCAGATTAAGTGAACTTGTGATAGCTTCAACCCTAGTATGTCTAAATAAACTGACAACTGATGAAACTTTGTCTTCTTTTTCACTTACATAGAATGACAGATACGTTTTAACTACATCATTGCTTAATCATAGATGATTTCATTCAAATATTGAGATGTGTATATACAAGCATCTACGCTATTAAAGACAATCTGAAGTTAGTCACATACACTAGGTCTAAATTCTCTACTTCACCGTCGATTTTATAGTCAGTGTAATATCGTTACTACTTTTTTTTAAATACTTTAAGACTAATCCATAGCTATAGTTGAATACATCTAAGTTACTAAGGTTTCAAGTCATTTATATTAAATCATCTCTTAATAAAGACTTACACTAGTAATCGATTACTGGAAATCAGTTATTGTTTTAGAAAAGAAAAAAATGTCTCTCTTTCAATAATGTTTAGATTTTCATTTAAAACATACAATATGGTTAATACATAGAACAGTGACATATTAAATGTTTTGGGTAATTTTCAGTTTTCACTGAATACAAATACATGTTTTTGTTATTACTCCATATAGTATATTTGAATTGGCAAATCCACTCCATGAACTGATAAGTGCAGGCCAGTTTGGTTCTGGTATTTGTTTTGATGTGCCTGGTTTACGAGTTGGTATGGTTTCAGGATGTTTAGTAGTAATTGGACGTCTAGTAGTTTCAGGACGTCTAGTAGTTCTAGGACGTTTAGTAGTACTTGGACGTCTAGTAGTTTTCGGACGTTTAGTAGTAACTGGACGTCTAGTAGGTTTAGGACGTCTAGTAGTTACAGCATAACATTCATCTTGTGATTTTGCTTCTTAAGGATAGCGACCTTCATAGTTTCCTCTAAAATACAAAATAATATACAATGGAATGTATCAATTGAATTTTTCTTTTAAAAATTTAATGAATAGAAACACCTTCATATTACTATTATAATACTTAGTAGAATAAAATTATAGTACAATAATTAGTATTAATTATTAATATTTATTTACCCTGGGCCATAATTACAGACAACTGATAATCCATATGGAAATCCATAATTTCCAGTACAATTTGTAATACCACAACCAACATGAGTAGTATTTTGCCATACTAACTAAAATTAATTAAAAAAATTTGAACTGATAATTTAAAGATAATTTGTTTAAATAGACAATTATATGTAAGTATCAGGTGTTTTGTGGAGATTGTAGTAATTCAATTAGTTGAGATCATGAATCAATTGAAGGTAGACCACCATGGAAACTTGGAAGCACTGAACGGTGGTTTCGTTCTGTTGGAGGACCCCACCTCGCGGGGTGGAGTTTATCCTGGTCAGTTGTGAGATAGTAACTCACTGATGACAATGATGGATGTGTCGCTCATTTTCGTGGATTAGTTGAATTTAGACATTAACACCATTGGATGCTGACCCAGTGGTCTGGAGGTTAAGCACTCGCGCATGAGACTGATACGTCCTGGATTCAAATCTTGTGAGGTGAGATCGTGGATGTGCACTGCTGGGGAGTCCCACAATAGGACGAAACGACTGTCCAGTGTTTCCAGGTTTTCCATTTCGATCTAGCTTCAATTGACTCATGATCTCAACTATTGAAATTACATATAACTTATTTGAAATGTTAAATAAAGAATAACCATTGAAAAAATAAAATTTGATACTGACAACAAATATATTTATCCTTGACGATGCCCCGACTTGTGTTAAAGTAACTTTTGATAAAAAATTAAATATATGAATAGATGTAACACTAAACATCTGTCTTTGATAATAATAATAAGAAGGATAAAAATAAGAATAAGAATAATAAGGAAAACTTCAGCTGTATCTATTTAAGATCTAACTAGAACTGAGACAATGTCATTATCATGATCACTATAATACTAATCATTTACTTCATTAATTTCGATGAATAAATGAATAAGATTTTAAGTGTAGTAAGACTCAAAGTGTTTTACAAGTAATAACTCTACATATAGTATGGTATCAGTCAGTTAGGCAGTAACAACATAGAAATTCGTACGTATGTACATCAGTTCGAGTTGCCATATTACACTAGCACACACATACAATTGTCGATTCAAATCCCATAGTGGTAGAGGTAGTAAGAGTATAAGCAGTAATCGGAAAGACTAGGGTTTGAAGATTTTATTTAAAGAATATAATTCAGTGAAATAAATCTGAAAAGAAAATAAGGGACATGAAGAATTCTGGAGATTAGAATTTGGGAGAACACAAAGATTGTATGCACCTGCATCATTGCAAACGATTTTGAGCCATGTCATTCAAGGTCTCTAACCATCGGTTGCTATCATCTCTTGGTCCCCAACCAGGTAGTCTACACCTACTAATATGACTCAGTCTACTTGTCAGTGACTTCATGGACTTGTGCCATGTTTTGGTTTGGCCGCCCCTAGTTTTCTTCCAACCTATTCCTATAACATTGAACATAGCATAGTATAGTATAGTGGTTAATTAATATTACAGCAATCTCATTATCACTTTAGTAAAGTAAATATGAAGTTATTTCATAATAAAAATACCAAATAAAATGTATTACGTCATCATGAATGTTAGTTTATTTGTAATAATTTACTTGAGTATAATGTCCACAAACACCATAATAACTATACTGTTTATATTCATCTTTCCATGCATCGAATGCTCTAAAGATTAAGAGGAATTAAGAAAAGAATAGTAATAATGATAATGTTAGTTACTGTTCAATTGTTTGATATCCTGCTATATTTTGACCAACATATTCCCATTTATGCGGTAAATCCACATCATTATGATGAAAATAACATTCATTTGCTAAATCTTTAGCTTTTGAAGCTAGTTCATCATCCCATTTCTATTTTACATGTAACATATAATAGATGATGTAATATAAACTTACAAGATCTGGTAAATATTTCGCTGGAGGTTGTCCTTCAAATTTACATTCTGTTAAATTACGTCTAAGATCATTATGATATTGTAGAAGTTTTTGAAGTTGTGGATCATTTGGTTGTGAGAAGACAATGTTTACTTTTATATAAATTAATAATAATAATAATAATAAGAAGGAGATACATAAAATCTGTTTATTATTCATTTTATCTCTGAAAGATTTGGGTAACAGACAATTTATAGAATCTTTTAGAGATAAAAAAAACAAAGAAACACAACAACCGTACTGTTATGATGTGATTTGGCACATTATGCATTTTCATTTCAGCCTATGTATATGAAATCACAATTCTCTTTCTATTAAAATGATTGTTTGTTAACTATAAGTAGAATAATTTATGTAGAGTTTTAGGTTGTTTTTTTGTGTGCAATCCATGTTCAAATCAAACATGTGGTTCTTTCAGTTTAAAGTTCTTATCGTTTCAATTGAATTATTAAGTTTATTCATATAATTGTATAACACTTGTTACTCCTTGTCAAGGAGCATAAGCGGCCAACCATTATTCTCCATCCAACATTAAACTGGGGAATATTTTCCAGTTGGTTTCAATTGTTATTTATCTTTCTGATGTCTGCTATGGTGGCGTAGAGAGATGAGACGGTGGTTGGAGGTAGTCAACAGGAAACCCTCGACCCAGATCTTGTGCTACTTGGCACTCGTCAGCAAGGTGTACCTGTAATCTTGAGGGAACTGGTTTGATCCCGTGTTAGCCAGCTTCACAGTCAGAGACGTTACTATTGAGCTATTCGGGCAGTGACAGACTTCCTGTAAAACTGAGATGTAATCACAATTGATTGATCACTGGGTGGTGATCAATGTCATGCGTGTCAAGTCCCGGGTTCAGGGGTTTCTGTTGACTACCTCCAACCACCATCTTATACCAATATAGTACACGCGATGTCGAGTCCCCTAGACTAGTGGCCACATTGCAACCTGATCGACAGCATTCGATCTGCACTAAGAAGGACTTGGCACACATGAGATTGATCACCACCCAGTGATCAATCAATTGTGGTGGTGGTCTAAAATTTGACTACAGGTAGATCATTTGCTGCTTGTTATCAAGTTATCGAAATATACATTTCACCAATCCTTACAAATAATTATTGACTTAACTCGGCATAGTGTGCTATTTGATCTTCCTCTTATTTGTTTCCTTTCAAGATTCCAAGTTATCGCTTGACTCTTACGACGTATTTTCTTAATTTCCTTTTCAGCTGCCACCTGGTATTTTTAAAAGTTCAGATCTCATCTTTTGAAATAGTTTCCACCAACTGGATATTTATATTTTCTGTTTCTTTGACCTAGTTAATAACATTATCATAGCGTCTACAAATATTATCACTGAAAGAAGATCAGACTAGTTTTCAGCTCCATATGGATGAAGACTTAAGGCAATGTAAGAATCAATGATACTCTATCCATATTAGCTATATTTGTTTATTTTCATCTCATAGACTGATTTTATCTACAAAACCACTGGAACCCAACATACACTACTTACCATTTTCGTTTCAATATGGGTACTGACTTCCGTTAATTTGTGATATTGTATTCATCCAGTCTCAAATATATTTTGTCAGTAAATCTCTAAGATAATTCGAAAATATTTCCACATGAGTAATTTATTCAAAGTATCAGTCATTTATTATAGTTACAGCATAGCTAAATATCCTATGTATCCACAGTCTCATTGTTTTTAACACAAATAATATGGACAAGTGCATGACACATTGATACATTCAATAATTTTATTTACCTTATCGTTAATCCTTTCAGTCAGTCAGCTACAACGTAGGACCAGGCACATATATGCATCGGTCCAAGTTGCCATACCTCATTAACAATACAAGATGAACACAGGATTCATAAAAGTAGTTAATTCAGAGGTGGTAATATATAAAAGAAAGATTGCATATAAGGATATAATACAGGAAGAAAGAATTAGTTCGTAGAAAGAAAGATATAAAGCGATTTTAATCTCTTAGTTCAAGGAAAGACAGAAAGTGTATACACCGACGCCATTGTGATCGACTCTGAGTCATGTCACCCAGAGTCTCCAACCATTGGTTATGGTAATCACGCGGACCCCAACCAAGTAGTCTGAATCTACCAACATGGCTCAGACTAGAAGTTAGTGTCTTCAAGGATTGATGTGTTTATCCTCTGCATCTCTACTTTCATCAAACAAAAAACTATACAATGAATATTCAATTATCATACAACAAAGGATTAAGTATTCAGTAGTTATTGGTATTTTATTTATCAATTAACAAAGCAAATCGGAGTACAGTTTTTTGTTAATCCAAGCATTCCCGAATTTAAACGAAGAACATTTTCTGGAAACAAGATATTGTGATGAAAAAGTGAAATATACACAAAGTATCTATGTATGTCGAATGATGAGGCATCCATGTGTCGATTACACTAAAATAATATTGTCAAATCAAATCCATCTTTCAATTAATCACAATCATATTTTGCAGTCAGAAAACACTACTCTACTTTGGCTAGAAGAAACACTATTGACTAATAGAAGTAGGTTAGTCACATCGTTCAACATTGACAGTTTCCGAAATAAATAACGTTACACACATTACCCTACATAAATAAGATTGTATGATCAGAAGAGTATTAATTACTGTATTATGTAGAAATAGCTATGCAGAAATAACACGAATTACATATGGAGGACATTAAAATAAAAGGAAACTAACTCAAACTATTGAATACAAATGAGTAGTATAGAAAAGACGTAACAAAAAGTAAGCCTAGAACAATCGTTATTGAGTGAAAAATATTTGAAATTTTACTATGTAACATACGGCTGTAATTAAACTCAACTCGATTTCATAATCATGTCAGTCTGCTTAGCGACCAATCAGAATGAAGCGAGAATTATTATATCTGCCATATTTCTTCTCTGTTTTTTTTCCACTGTCTCTTTTGTGTAGCTGCATAATTTAATGTTTCAGTGTGCTGAAATTACTCGGTTAATGTAATACACTAAGTGTTATCGCAAATTGTCATTGGGTAAGATTTGTTTTATCGGTTTTCGCTATGGCTATTTAAGTCAAAGTATTTCTTCAGTTAATCTCGCTTTTTTTATGTTATCAAATGTTAGTTCGTTTTGTTTTGAGTACAATCAAGCTACGGGCAATCATAAACTATGCAATTAACTAACAACTATATCTAATCATTTAATTTTATTTACTTTCGAATTCCCTCGGTTAATTACGGTTATTGTTAATTTCTGTCAAGCCCTTTTATGAACTTATTCAACAGACAATGATATTCGGACAGTAAACATTCGTCTATTGCTTTGTATTATTATTATGATCACTATCATGTCTGTATAAACGTGTACGCTTGACCACATGTGACAGCCTACTCACATATCTCAAGTATAAATGGTGATGGCTTAATTATCGCTCGATGAATCATTCTCTTTCCCATGTATATATGTGATTGAATCCTATTATTAGACGTTTCCTTGCCTTGTCTTGCCTTGTTGCACTGCTATTCCTTATTTCGATTTGACTATCAATTCGCTCACACACACACACATTATCAGATACAAATCATTCACTGAACATACATATTTCCCACTCTATGGGGATTGTTGTCTATCTGACGAACAGTTTATCAAAACTGACTTAACCGAAAAGCTATACTTATGCATGATCAGGTAGTTAGTCTTTGTAAAGATTCATAGTTTCTCAAACGAAAATATTAAACTAGACATAATGATGTTGTGTACAGGGAATGGGTGAATTTAGTTGAAATATATTGTATGCTAAGGATTTACTGTTGAATTACATGTTTAATATTGAATGAAGTGTTTATTGTTACTAGTTACATTGATGAGCTGAATAAACGTGAATTCCAGTCAACACACAATACACATACAAAGATGAAATAATCAACACATAATGAACGTATTCATTAAATGTATCATTCCAATGACACTTGCCAACATCGTTTCTCACTCACCACATGAATTACAGAACACAAAACAATATGATTTGAATGAAATATATTCAATTATAAGTTATAAGTTATGACTAATTGCTACACACATACATATAGTTGAGTAATATCAACACAAAATAGTCCTGCATATCAATGGAAGTAAGTAATGAGTATATATTGAGAGAAGGTTTTGTGTTACAGAAGTGAAAACATAGTTGAAAACAGATACGTGTAATAGACATCGAGGCACCAATTATATTTGCCGAATAAATTCAATCAATTTCTGTATCATACTCTTCTATTATTATGCTGTCCTTGTACATAGCCAAGCCCACTTCCACTACGAACGCTCTTTAAAAGCATGTGTAAAGCTTTCTTTCCGTATATACTCTTGGTATTAAAAAGATTATTTTGAATAAGATTTGTAGGAACACACTGACTATTTGGGCGTCGTTCATGAACTCTACTTCCACTTGAACCGGTCGATGACAATTTGTGGTTGACATTCGCTATTGATAATGGTGCACGCTGTTTATTATCACGCATCGTTTGAAAACTGTCTTTAGGAATATTCTGCTTTTCTGGGCACAATTCACGTGATTTCACTTCATATGGTTTCTCATCAGTCCAATTACCACTAAAACAGTCAACACAATAGAAATTCAGTTACATTCACTATGAGAACAACAACAAGGTGATTGCAAACAATACCATCTCTTCCCACATCATCAAGAACAATCACTTACCCTGGACCATAATTACACACGATTGATAGACCGTACCTTGGACAACTCGCAACTCCACATCCAATGTCTGTGGTATTGGCCCAAACCATCTGAAACAGAATGTGAGCATGGTATTAATGTGATCGTTCGGTAGGCCAATTGCAAGACATTTCCACAATGTTTCAACATGACCTGTGTGTAAATACATTACTTATGAATGATGGAGATAATGTTGTCAACTGAAGGAGATACACGTGGAAATTCCAGTATGTGTTGAATGAGTATGTTTACACTTGGTGCAGTCATGATAACTAGTTGAATTCTACAGAACACTTAATCAATCACTCTCTCACTCACTCACCACTCATCCTGTCATGTCAACCAACAGTCGAAATCATTTCACCCAACACAACATCGTCATCTTCCATCTATACACAATGAGTTTCTGTTGAGTAGATTGCAATATTGTGTTTGTGTGTTCACACTAGTGTTGACAGATTGATTAGGATTTGAATGCACTTGTCAGTCTTAGTACATGCTGGTCAGAGACAAATTTCCTATCTGTTGTTTTCCACCGAATCACCTCAACTCTCAACAAAACACACATACTCAAATATTATCAAGTGTTGTGGATACCTGTGTGCATAACTGCAATCATCGGATTACGTGTATTTACATGTGTTTTTCAGTCACTTCTGTAGAAAAGTGAAACCACTTGATTGTTATCACACATTCGTGGTGCATTATAATAGGTGTGAATGGTGAGTGACAAATGACTGTGGGTATGTTGAACTATGTTGAAGTGGATGAGAATGGACTTACTTGTGTGTAATGCAAACATCGCTTATAGTTGTTTTGATCGTATTTGTATAATTTGTGCTCATTGAACCAAGCATCTACTCCTCTGAATCAGAAAACAGTGAATTGAATAGAAATGAGCTTACGACTTAATGGTTGGACAGACAACAATATTTTGTCCAACACAAAGGAAATCATGTGAATAAGGTATGTCTTGTTGGAACTTGCAGTTGTTCGCCAATGTTTGTGCTTGTGCAGCCAGATCGTAATTCCATTTCTACAAATAAGCGTTACGTATATTATTTGAAGAAATTATTGAATAGTGAGTGATTTACCAATGGTGACATATATTTAGCTGGAGGTTGTCCATCAACTTTACAATCAACTAAATCCTGTCTGTATTTTCTATGCAGTTCGAGTATTTCGAGACTGTTTTTATCAAGCTTTCTGTTGGTGTTCACGCAGTAGACATAATTGATGAGAATGTATATTATTAGTATGTTAAACATTTACTTTCTTTTAGTATGTTGTTGCAATGATTTTGAGTAATGATTTCAATGCCTTTTTATTTGCGTTTGTGTGAATTATCGGAGTTCATTCATTCTTCTATTTGTTCATGTTTTGTTTATCTTCATCTTCTAAACTGTAGTATCTCAGTTTTCTCATTGAAAATACTACGTGTTCTTCTAATTGTTATTCTCTTTTATGTTTAATAGTACAAATTTGCCTAAGTATGATTCTTTTTATTAAGTAGTATAACAGTATAGTTATTTTGATTATGTTATATGTTGCCTTAATGATAGATAGTAATAAGGTGTGTTTTCTTCACTTATACATACACATGTTAATCAACTTGTTTTGACAATATTTAAGTAAAAGACTGGCATATTAAAAACTAAACTGTATACATACATCCTGATATCTTCTAATAATTTTTAAGATTAATTCTTTCAGCTTTTTAGGGGTTGTGGAGATTATTTAGTTTATGATTGAAATCATGAGTCAATTGGAGCTAGACCAAGATGGAAAACCTGGGAGAACTGAACGGCCGTTTCATCCTAGTATGGAACTTTTCAGCAGTGCGCATCCACGATCCTGCACCCCGCGAGATTCGAACCCAGGACCTATCAGTCTCTTGTGGATTGGTTGAGGTTAGACACAAACACCATTGGATGCCGGCTCAGTGGTCTAGTTGGTTAAGCACCTGACGCGAGACTGATGGATCTTGTGTTCGAGTATCGCGTGGTGCGGGATCGTGTATGCGCACTGTCGAGGAGTCCCATACTAGGACGAAATGGCCGTCCAGTGCTTCCAGATTTTTCATGTTGGTCTAGCTTCAATTGACTCATGATTTCACTTAATTCTTTCGTTGAATTAACATACAATTAAATGTATTTACTCTCAAACAGTAGATTATTATATCAGGTTTAAAAAGAGTACACTTTTAAACATACTACTAGTTTGAGTAGCTATTTATAATAAATATATAAGTTAGCCACTGATTTATTAAGGTTTTATATTTTCTCTATGTTGATAATAACAGCTTTAGATGAACAATCTCTTTTATTAAATGAATATTTTGAACAAATTGCTAATCAATATCTGTCTATCGAATTATAATGTTTTTCATCAGTCTAAATGATTGAACATCTAGTACACATAATGTTTTGTTTTTATTTGGTTCAAGATAGTCGTCAGGAAATTCTTCTTCATTTACGTTTCACGCTATTTGACACTCGTGTGCAAGAGATCAGTTCAATATTAATGAAACGGGTATAACTTGAGTCATTTACACATGGGTCCAATTTAAGAATAACATTGGTTACTACTCAGTGATCAATCGATTATAACTACACTAACAATATTTTTGTAAGCAATTATGGGGAGTATCTAGTAGTGGAATCCAGGAAGCGCGTTCCGTCCTACCTGGGACTCGTCAGCTGGATATATCTGCATCTGAGTTGATGTCCACTCTGAGACTCGGACCCAGTACCGTTCGCTTCAAACGCCATCACGTTATCCACTCAGCTACTGATTCCTGATAGCCACTTGTTTGTGCAATGGGGTGAATTTAACTTCACTTGATATTGTTTTTGCTTGTATCTTCCGATTGAGGTTTAAGACTGCAATTGATCAGTCTATTATTGGCATATGTGCATCATTGCTTACAAAAAGCTTGTGAATTAAGGCAATATCGAGGCATACACACATTATGCACATATGCCAATAACAGACTGACCGATTGCAGTGTTAAATCTCAATGGGAAGATACAAGCCAAAACAATATCAAGTGAATTTATACTAACAATACATACAAAATAAAATTTAAAATCTTATGGGAACATTGCAAAAGTATATTCCTTTGTTCATATTTTAGATTATAGAAAATTACTTGTTCTTCACAATTCTCTCAATAGATTACCAATACGTTCACACGCAAGGTTTTCTCTCATTACTGTGAAAGTTTCATTGAGTATGTGTTGTTATGGTCATCAAAATATGCGGGAATATAAAGTACATTTATTTTTTGTAAAAAATAAATCTTGTTGATACTTCAATTATTTTTTTAGGTGTTAATCACGGGGTGTGACTTCGAAGTTATCTGTTCCCGTCAAACTTCAGTAGGCCCTCCAATCATTTGACATAGATCATCTACGTTGGTGATCTACAACTTCTATTTGCCTCATTTATGTGAGTATCCTTTCATCCTTCCATTAATCCTACTGAAATAATTATATTTTCCTGCTTATTATATACAGAATAATAAAGATCGAATTCTCAATTCAGTAGACAACCTACAAATAGTCTTCAGTTGATATTTTCATAATATTAGACACAATTTAATAATGTTACTAAGACTAACTAGTTGACTACCCCGTGCTTCAGAATCAGGAATTGTCAACTTGAAACACTTCAAACTCAACGTTTTGTGTCAAACCTATTGTATTGGGTAATTAAAAGCATTACCTACATTTGGACTTCATGAAATTTTACTCATTCCTCTGGTAACAATGGTTCGGTCGGTTACATGTTAAAATCAGTATTTAGTAAATTAATCACAGCCACCGTTGAAATTGGCAATGTATCCCATGCGGTCAAAGTCATTACTCATGGTATATAAAAAGTAGTCTCGCAATTGTATGTAAAACACCAATGAAACACATGAATGGTTCACTGCCGAAACTTTTCGGTTCTGCTGTCACATACTTGAAATCAGAATAGTTATAATAAAATATTTATCGTGTCACTGCAGTTTTGATTATTGATCTTAAATACACTGGTGTTAATAACAACTCTGACTGATACAATACAAAGCATGCCAATAACTTGTACTAACTGGCCCTATGTCGAGCCCACGTAGGTTATTCTAGTCTCTGTACAGACCAGTCTATTCATTCTTCCCGAGTCACATTTTGACCTTGTTAATTATTCGCCTGGCCTCGCCCCGCTTCGCTCCCTTCTTTTGCCTAACTTTGCTTTGTCTCACATCACCTCGATTCCATTTGACTATAAATATTGAGTAACGCTTAATTAAAGTGAGTTGGCTAACATGCCATCTCTAATCCGACTTGCTTCGCACTCACCTCTTCGTTTCGTTTCTCTGATTGTCTGCTCCCTCCAATGATTGTATAAGATATTTGTATTCAAACATCTGTTCTCGCATTTGAATTTCTTTAATTTAGTTATTCACTGAGGCGAGTTAAGTCGATAATTATATACAAGGATTGACCACATGCATAAATCGATAACGATAATCACATGATTAAATTGGAGTTAGATATTCCAGGGCCACTAAGATCTTCCGTGATGTAAGTGCGACCATTGTCAGGATTTACTACCAAAATGGACGACTTCAATAATGAAACCAATCACTGAATGTTTGGAGATATTTTCTGGTAGTGATGTACTCCAGAAAGAGAGCTATTTAAAAAGCTACCGAGCATTTCCCACTGACATGATCTACCATATATCGTAGTAACATAAATGAGTGCCTGTTCAATTTTCAAAATTCCAAGGAGTTCTATATAAGTCAATATTAAAAAGTCTGTTTGTCCACCATTGTGTAATGCTCCGTAAATAGGTTCAGCTGAGCAGGTTTTAAATATGAAGCGAAAAGTTGCTCTGTTGTCTTAAAATTTCCTTCTTAACGATATAAATAGGGTTGATTGAATTCAATAGGAAAGTAGGATATTAATCTCAAATTTTATATCATCATTATTTAAAATTGGGTACTGAGAACACATAGTTTACATCGTGAACACTAGAAGTGAAGACAAGTCAGCTATTGTGAACAATTTTGACCCATACAATCTTTCATTATATTCATTAGAGCAAAAATTATCAGATGTAGAACGACGTCTACCACATTAACTGTGCCTATAAAAAATTTAACTGAAGATAGGCTTCAATAAAAAATTGACAGTTTAATTACAGATTTCTGATCGAGATTCTCAGCAATCAATCCAACCAATCCTTTACACCTCCAATCCGACCTTGATGTAGGGGACATGATATTAAGACGATGAATATGTCTAAGTTATATATTGAAAAACGCTACTAATGAAGCTCATTTTAAATATTTGCAATCTGGACCATTTTTATGTTATTTAAATAGCGTGAATTTGCCAACCGAATATATCTATATTAGGTGGAATGTATTGAAGACTACTTTAATAAAATGTTACACAACAAGTGAGAACTTATAAACATAAGACAAATCATGTGTGAAATAGGAGTATTAAAGAACCAGTTAAGTGCAACTTGATTATCGCTGATACAGTTCACAAGTACATCAATGAACATTTAGCTACTGGTTTCCAATGGCTTGCAAAGTTGAAAGATGTAATGAAACATCTAGTTATGAGTAATTGTTGCGGAATTTATGTAATCCAAAGATTTGACTAAGACTTGTGGTGGACTAAAATGTATTTCAACCAAAAATTAGCAATAAAGTTATTACGTCCGAAAGTTAATGTAACATTAATAATTTATAAATTAGTAACACAAAATAAAAGTTCAGGGACGTTACTTAAATCAGCTAGTTGTTGCGTGTTCCGTCGAGTTTTGGTCCCAAAAATCCACAATTATAAATGAATAA